AATTATTTTTTGCATTTTAGCACTGACTTATTTTTGGACATCGGATGTCAAATTTGCTTCATGATAAGTGATAATTTTTTTTTAAAACAAATCAGTACTGAGAGTTTTGATAGGAATCTATGAATTCAATTCCTCGAGAATCAAGTCTATCCTAGTCTCGGAAGCCTTCTGCATTTTGTGGTATGGTTCTTGTCTAAGTGAATTTTGATTAGACTGTAATGCTCCGTGTAAGTCCCCTACAACATGCTAACAAATCCCTAGTATCTGCCAGGATATGTCTCAAAGATGTACGGGTACATTCATCCCATCATCGTAGAGCAATAGCGTGTGTAGGTCTGTTAGAGACCGAAGATACTGGAACCTATTACCTATTCTGTAGTAACACAATACGAACAACATGTGCATCAGTACTAAATGGGGTAAGGAGAGAACATATATCCCGTTCATGTGAGCTGTTCTAACTTTAATTCATCCATGTAGAAAACGCCTGAATCAATTAGACATAGTAGTACCCATGATTTTCTCATCTTTGTTGAAAAACATTTACCGCCAATGAAATTTTCTGTATTTCTGCTCGTTTATGTACCTTCCGTAAATGATGACATGGGGCTGTAACAATCTTTCTTTTGCCAATACTAGAACCCGTAATGCTCTGTTATACCTACCGGTAGCATACAAATATAACACTAGATATAATATGTCCGACACACAACCTATTTTTGAAACGAATTCAAGAATATGAATTATTGACCTATCATTGTAATTAGTGACAAATGAGCAATCGTTATGCAGTGACATGGCTGCTAACACCAGAGAATCTGTAAGGGCTTTCTGAAGAAAAACATTAAAATGACTACACAACAACCTGTCAATTATCTTAAGACTTATGAATATTTCACAATTGTTCAATATCAACAACACTTTCGTACGTTCAATTTCAACGGGTAAAGTTAAATCTAGTCTCTTCTCTGATTCGACGTGAATTTTACCTATTGGAACCGCAAGAAACGGATTCAAAAATGCCGGGAAAAGAATATTTCTGAGAGAAGGACTGCGTAGGAGAAAGGAGACTCCCAAATAATAGAAGTGTTCTAGTTTTTCAAGCAATGATGCCTTTTGGGGTCCAGATACTTTAGCTATAAACATATTGTTTTCTGGTATAAAGAAATTTGGTAGACATCCAGTATAAACAGCGTGCATTAAAAATTTATAGCATATCCAAAATTTGGAAAGCAAAGAGGCTGGATCCCAGGTCATTGAAGAATCTTCCTGTATCGCCCAAAATAAAATGGTTTTCATAAAATATGAACACAATAATTCGTCACAAATGATTTCTTTGAGAACTTTTTTTAACAAACCGTAGCAAAGAAACTGGACATGGTTTATAGAATACACAAGTTTACGTTCTGCCAATGAGAAGGAAATTCTCCTTTCTAAATCATCACAGCCTTGTTTGCTTCCGATGGGGACAAGGTGACATCCTGAACTAAGAATTGATTGTATTACACATCGTGTTGGCCATGCCTTGTTCGAACATCTGTTAATACACTGCCAAGCGACCTTGGGCCAATGAATTAAATGGACACAAATTGCATAGTCACATTCATTATTCAGAAAAATAAAATCATGGCACGGTCCATGTAGGTTTTCCTTTTCAAGTGGTGGGCATAGTTCACGCAAGGAGTGAAAAAGGTAAACTCTGAAACGTGAACTTGAAATATATGACCCAACGCTACCTTTAAACAGGGCATTAAAATTAGATGCATTACAGGTCGGCCTTAGTAGTTGTAATCTTGTGAATCCAGCTGGGGTTTCAGAGGTATCCATGAAAATGAGTGTATCTGTGGGTGAATAATTAAACGTGTCCTGGAACATGTCACATATCACCGTGTTGTTTAATGGCCATATCATTACATCTAAGTCAGATGAATAAATTCTGAATCCCTCCCTAAAGCTTCCACTCACCATCATTGTAAAATATCTGGTATGTTTATGTTTCTCTATGCCTTTCTCAATTATTTCACTCAAGTCCAATATTTCCCCCCTGAATCTCACAGCTTTTGGAGACCCTATCTTAATACATAGGGCTACGTATAGAATTTCAGATATGCGGGAAATATGGTTCATTTCTGTAGTAAATCCAGTTATCTGTCATTAATGCAGAAAATCAGTGGAACTAGCGTGCATTTAAATTTGCCTCATGCGGTAATATGTTTCCATTTCTTTTCCTTCTTTACACAAATCATAAGCAGAAACGTGACCGTAGACGTTATATGTAGGCACGATTGAAAATCCGCAATCTATTTTAAACGATAAGTCCCACCAATAAATCATCGTCTTTTGTAAAGAATGGAGGGTTAATATATGTATGAATCAGCTCCTGCATTACAGATATAGGCTTTATAGAATGATTTTCATGAACATACATTGCAATTAAAACCGTAAAAAGCAATACTCATATATTTCATATATTTTCATGGTATAATAAAGCTCAGCTATAGACAGTTAAAATGTTGAAGGCAATTTTCCTCAGAAATGTTTATAAAATATAATGACTATTTTCAATTCCACTAGCATAACGCATGCCTAAATTATATCATCACAGAAGGTGTCCCACAACAGACACCCATAATAGAGAACACAAGGCCTTTACTTGTATTTGTAACACCACATTGCATTATTCAGAATTAAAACACATGTAAAGGTTTATTGTTTATTGTATGTGGTCAGAATCAATGTAATTGAATTCGACTAAATTCGAGAACAGAATGTCCCGTATACCTGATTTATTTCACAAGGCTCACGGCGGGTGTGACGGGTCTAAAGGGGATGCTTACTCTTTCTAGGCACCTGATCCCATCTCTGCAATTTTCGAGGGTCCTTTTTATGCCCTTTTAACAGAATTGTATTGTTTGTGGATATTTGAAAATCATCACTGTTCGTTATCTTCACCTTTTTTTTCGTTAGGAAATATATCCACAGTATGTCGTTCGCACGAGATATTATGTCATTTGCGATACATTCTACCTCATTTGCACGATTTTTTGTCATTATATATATATATATATATATATATATATATATATATATATATATATATATATATATATATATATATATATATATATATATATATATATATATATATATATAGTATAACTTTCCACTTTCCGTATTGATTTTCGAAAACTTATGTCATTCTTTTCTTCCTTCACTTTTTTTTTAAAAGTTGATCGTACTAAAATCATGCTGAATACTCTGGGAGACATGTTTACCATTGAAAAGCCAGAAGATCCCTCTTGTCTGTTATTTAGCTATGAATATCTATAATCAGTCAAATATCCAAATATCAAACAAATGGAAGACAGTCATTAAAGGAGGTTACTATAAGAGTTATAACCAATAGTAACCATTTTACGATTTTCAATATGTGCTGAGAACACAATAGGCATAATAAATAGAGATATGTATGTTAATGTAATGCTGTTTTATTGCATTTTAATTGCGCGTTCGTCCAGTGTTGGTCAAAAAGGGAATAAGGAATGAACATTGAGGTTCAAACCTTGGCATCAATCACTTGTTATAAATTTTGTATCACTCTGTTGGAAAAAGGGTCATCTTTCAAAAGGGGTCTTTTTTTTATAGGATACACATATATAAAAAAAAAATGACCCCTAGGGCACTTTTTCTACAAAAAGAATATACGGCTTGGAGGTAATTTTTTTGTCGCTGAAAAATGACTCCCCGGTCATTATTCTATGAGGGTCATTATTCGTCTTTACACAAAATTTATATCTAAAAATGTTAACCGGAAATAATGTCTTACAAACTAGAAGGAAAACACGGAACTTAAAACTTGTAATCTTGATTTTTTTTAATCTTTCTGCGACAGAAGTTTCTCTCTCTCTTCAGTTTCTTCTACATAATGAGAGATAATGTTTGAAATGAATTTTTTCACACTACAATATCCTTTTAAAAAATACAATATTTACATGGACATTTCATAATATAAATATTTCAGAGACGATCGACGAGAAAGCCTTAGATCCATACTCCATTTTAGTGCAGTACACAAAATCAAGGCAATCCATTAGTCGATGGCAACCAACCACAGCATTTGTATGGGGTTTATACCTGCTGTACAAGCCTTAATGTAGAAGTAAGCTATTACTAGAGGTAGATATTAGTATGAAAACCAAAAGGTTAAAGCAATTTTACATCATTATTAACGTTTTATCCGATAAGGCCACTCTCTGACTCAATATAGAAGGCTGAGATTACTTTTTGTTGAAACAGACTGTATGACCATGCATATAGAAAAGTGATAGACAAAAATAGAACATGAAAGGTACAGATAATGACACAAAATTTGGAGGGGTGAGAGAGCAAATAAGTATCAAGCCCAATTTTGTTGTTGTTGTTTAGGTATGTATATATTTCTATAATTTGATTTTTTATATTGATCAATTGTGAAATGTAATAAACATGTTAAAATTATAATAAGAAGAATTGTTTTTAATTGTTTTACAATAAATAATTATTAAGTCCTAAATTTTGCACTTTCGAATCAATATTTCGCCATGTAAATTCAAATCACGTTAGATATATAAGACATTTACCTGTATATATTGTGGCATGAAAACAAGAATTAATTCAATAAGGAATAAGACAAGGAATTGTCCTTAATATTCTAAAGTTTGCACTCTCTTTCTTCAATGATGAAATAAAAAATCATCCGTATAAAAATGATATTAAAAAAGTACTAGTGCTAATATATGATATTATTTTATTTGTGTTTGTAAATATTAAGCAAATGTATACGGTTGAGCCTCATCAATTTGGACACTTGTGTTCCCATGTTAATCGTCCGAACCAATGAAGCATACTTTTATATTTGGAAGTTATAAATGTTAATTCGTTACGATCGGAAGGTAAAGTACCCGGATTACTGGTGTACAGATTACGGAAGTTAAACATATTCTAAGAAATTTCTATTTCAGAGCTTTTTTTAAAGTAATGAAGGCTCTGTTGAATGAGAAAGGGGAACCATATGAAAAGGTGATGGAGCACGATGGGTATTATTTCCCAAACAATTTAGGAGCTCAAAAGAATGTAAATGTTCCAGCGTTCCTGGCTGGTCTTAATGAACTCAATTTTAGAGATGACGAAATATGCGTAGTTTCGTACCCAAAGTCAGGTTAGCAAATCGAGACGTTATCTACTTTCTATATATATTTATGTTCCCTAAACGATGTTCAAGAATGCATGCTTTGAACTTTTTTTTCTTATTTCTACTCCGGCAATTTTTCGTCTTTTTTCTTTGAAATACTTTAAGTATTACATGTATATTTAATACATCGGTATATATTATGAGATATTATAACAAGATATATTCGTGAAATTTTGAAAAAAAAATCTCAAATGTGCTTGAAATTAGATTGGATGAAGTTGTAAAGGACTATTACGTTTTTAGATTTCAACAAAACAATTAAGATAAAATTTAGAATATTGGTAAATATAATGAGTCCCTGCATCATGATATCATAAAAATGAATACAAAATGAATTCGATGGCTGTATTTTTCTGAATTTTCAGGTAGATTCTGAAATTCGTTGAAAATTAAAATGTAGTCTTATATTATGAGACAATACAATGTGATATATATGACAATTCTTGCTTTTGCATTTGCGCTGAAATCTGATTGGCTTTTACTAATATGGCTTTATCTGCGTTATTATCCGAAAAATAAGGTCTAAATGATAGGTCTAAGGCACAAAATTTCAAAAAGCTTATAGGAAATAAAGCACTAAAAAGATCTGTAAAACTTTCAATTAAGATATTGAATAATAAAAACAAACACACACTTTCTGACTTCATTATTTATGCTGTGTGGTCAAATTAATCATAAGATAACCAAAGGCTTCTCTCTCTTCAAATTTTTAAAGAAGTAGATTTTACTATCATAAATAAATCTCACTAACTTACAATTCTTAAATAAATTTGTATCTGCCCAAATACTTTCTCATTTCAAATTCTTTTCTGTCCCAGAAAACACTTATTCCTTAAATTTCTTTAAAAAAATTCTTTGATTCTTGGGATTGGATGGAGGGAATGACACTCATAGAAGCATATCAACTTCTCTTTGTTCTTTGTTGGTAGACGTAAAGAGATCTCTTTCCTTGAAAGATTTCGAAAATTCATTTAAAGTATGAGTTAATGAATTTTTGTCTTTTTCTTTCCAAATAAGGGACACATTGGACTTTTGAGATTTGTAACATGCTTAAGAGTGGACGTACAGAATTCATTGACACCTTGATACCGATCTTTGATTACAGTCCAAAGGAAATGTTGAAATTCGCCCAGAGCAAAATTGGTGTCTATACATCACATTTCTATCCACGCCATATGCCAAAACAATTAATGAAGACGCGATGCAAAATAATCCATGTATATCGGAATCCAAAAGATGTTGCTGTGTCATTCTTTAACTTCATAAAAAAGCTAAACTATGTTGATATCCAGGACATGAGCTTCTCTGAATTTCTGAGACATTTTGTCAGCGGAAACGGTAATGAACATTTTTTGCAACACTATATATATGAATGTGTAAAACAATATTGTATATCAGTCATTCTACAAAAACATGACCAATTAAGAATTTTTTATGTCGCTTACAAAGTTACAGTTGTAATATCTAAAAACTATAAATTTAAAGATCGATTTCAACTCTAAGCCTTAAAATACACACATGGTTTTGTAAATATGCAGTTACAGTTTTGATATGAACATAGTGTAATGTTGAAAAACGTATTCCACTGCAAATCTTAAAGTCGCTTCATTTATTTACAAATTTCAAGACGAAATTTTCAGCTGTAAAAGCGTTCCGAATAGATTGTAATGAATGTTAAAGAAAGTTTTTTTATCCTATATAAAAAGAAATCAAACCACTTCTCGCAAAGAAATGCATGGATCTTTTTTCATGCGAAATTATAGCATGTCGCTAAAAATCGATTATCTTCCGTAAAGATTTTGTTTTGAATTCCAGAATGCAGATTTCAAAAAGAACTGAAACTTATCTGAAAGTGACCATGGAACCTAATATCATCGATTCTAGTTGCGAGTCAGCTATTTTAGTCGATTACTTTTTCGACATAGCAAAATGAATTAGACAAAAACAGTTGTGTCTCTTAAAAATTTAACTTCCGTACCGGTAATTCAGGAAAGTTTTTGCATTAAAAGTATAAAGATTTTTATTATTTTGGGAGCGAAATGTTTTATGCTTTTGTTTGATATCCTAAAACAAACTTTAATTTTAACTTTGCCGAGAATTTTTATTGCTGGGAATTAACTTCCGTAACGATTAACTTCCGTAACGATATTTTTCACGAAATTTAAACTTAATTTCGGATTCATGCGAAACTTCATGAATCATACTTAAGCGTTCTATACTGAACTTCAGAAACGAGAAATTGGTCAAATTCAGCTTTATTTAAAAATGATAAGACTTGTTCAAGCATTAACTTTCGTAACATTACCTTAAAATCAATGGTATATTAAAATTGTTGTAAAAAGTTAACGATACCAGATTTGTGGACAATTCTTTTTTTTCAAGTTCACTGATATGTCTTTAGAGAATTATGATGTTCATTTTGCTATTTGAAACAATTTTTTTTTCATGTTTTATACCCTGTATTGGTTCATTTATCGTAGAATGACTGATATGTAAGCTGTTTTTAACAGAATCTTGAGAGTTCTCATTGATATGCTTCCTCTATTGAAATAATTCTATTAATAGATTTCTTTAAAGTTACAATTATCAAATGATAATTGATAAATGCATCTTTTAGTCTTACGTTAAGAATATACGACGGTCATTCAAATAATACGTACACAATGTCGCTCTTTGTCATATTACTTTTTAGAAATTCGTCACCAACACATTAAGATATGTAAAAACAACTTTTTGTCGAAGTTCAAATTCATTCTATTTGATCAAAAGAAAAACTATAATTTAATTTGAAATCAACATCTTTTGTCACCACTCTTGACAGTGTAACCTCAAAACATATGGTCATGACTGCTTCTCAAAAATAAGTCCCCATTACATCTCACACAGTCTTTGGTGCATCTTCTATTCATTAGAATGTTTCTATAAGACTTGATATTTTGCTTGGCAACGTTAGTAATTTGTTTATTTATTTTTACCGTGTAACTCTTTAACAAGTTCCAAATAAGTGTAGCGCCCTTCCGCTTTCCGAAGCTTGAAATGCGTTCAAAACAGAACGCTACATTGCAAGGTCGATGTTGATTTTTATTTGTAAGTTATGTACTTAAGTAAGGTCAATTTATATAGAAAGTTCTCTAGGCTATATATAAACGTATTTGTTACGATATCACATGACCTCGTTGATTACGTGACGGTCATTTCTACTTTTTTGAAGTGTTTCACATAAATCGCTTCGGCGCAGCTGATTAACACAATTATTATTAACTTTTTCTCACATAAATAAACTCTTCGCTTCCTTGTGAACCCGAAATGTGCTTGGGAAAAGTTATACTCTTACTCTTGTACAAAATATTTCACAATAAATTCAACTTACCGACAAATTACAGGGTATTTTCCACTCAACGTATATTAAACTTTAAACTTTAAACAAGAGTAATAAAGCAAAGTTATCTAAAATGTTCAGGTATATAAGATTTAAAAAAAAAAGATTAAAACACTTTTATTTTACAGTAGCTTTCTGACACTTTATTCTTGTACAAAATATTTCACAATAAATTCAACTTACCGACAAATTACAGGGTATTTTCCACTCAACGTATATTAAACTTTAAACTTTAAACAAGAGTAATAAAGCAAAGTTATCTAAAATGTTCAGGTATATAAGATTTAAAAAAAAAAGATTAAAACACGTTTATTTTACAGTAGCTTTCTGACACTTTATATGCAGATTACAATAAGGTGTAAAGTTTATGACACTCTCCCCATCATAACAGCTCAAGTTTGCAGTGACTTGACGTCATTTTCAATTATGACGTCATACATTTGTAGTTCAGAGAAGTGAAGGCACAGAGTACACTGCGATATTCTCTGAAAAGCCTTAACGTGCCTGCGTCAATTTCCATGACGTTACTATCTCTTTTGACCAGATTTGTTTGATATTAGTAATCCCTTTTCTTCTCAGGCCGTTCTTCCGATTCAGAGTCTTCTTCACTCCTAATCTTCTTTTACCATTTCCATATAAAGACAAGTGCAGTGCTCACTTTTGATAATCTCCTGCTTCCCCAAGCAATTAAGTGTGTATTTTAGAGATTTCCCGAGTGCAACGCAAAATTATGTCTGGTTCTCGCTGCTCTGTGATGTCATCTTTTTTTCTCTGCTTTTTTCAATGAAGACTACCTGTCTTCTGCGACTGAAACTTAACTAATCAACTTTAAAAATTTTTTAGCATTATTTTACTGAGATATGACATCTGTATTGTGTATATAATGTAGTGTTAAAAAATTATTAAATTTTGACGTGCTCCGTGGCCCAAGTTTTAAATTTCAAATAATTTTGAAATTTATCATGATATATTGAATTTTTGAAACCAATTCATTAAGATTTATTGTTAAAACATGTCTACCGAATTTGGTTATCATATGACGTTAAAATAGAATAGTTACAAAATTCTACGTATTTTTTGAATGACACTTGTATTAGTTTGTTTTATTTACATAATATTAACATGGCGTTTATCTGTTCACTTCAGTTCATTGTGGGAGCTGGGTTAAATGGATTGAAGAATGGACGACATTTAAGAGAGAAAATCCAAACTATCCACTTCTGGAGATATCATATGAAGAAATGAAAAACGTAAAATTGCTATTTGAAAAGAATTTCATGACTATATCTATTTGTATCCTTTATACAACCGAAGCAATCTCGATTCAAAAAAATCTCTAATCTAAATTACAGAATCTGAAAGAAAGTGTTGAAAGAATTTCAAATTTTCTTGGTCTCGATTCTTCACCAAAGTTAGTTGAGGATATAGCAAGGAAATGTGATTTTGATGTCATGTCTGCACATAAAAACTCGCATGTTCCAGAAAGAATGAAAAATATATCATCCCTTGAAAATACGCATATTTTCTACAGAAAAGGTTGGATATATTTCTTTGATTGTTTTCTTCTTTAAGTAAAGTAATTTTTGTCATTTTGTGACGTATAAGGAAATAAACAGTTTAATTGTTTTTTGTTATCAATCAAATTTTTTTAGATTTACGGACTTTATTAATGTACTGATCCGAAGTCGATAGATATTCAATACAAAATATGTTCTTATCAGGTGGGGTTGGAGATTGGAAGAACCATTTCACGGTGGCTGAAAACGAGGCTTTTGATAAGTCGATGGAAACCATATTACCTATACTAGGATTGAAAATAACTCATGAGTTGTAAATAGATTTAGAAGTTGATGAACCTTACAAAAGTATACAGAAAATAATGTAAATAGCATCATTTCGATGTGAAAAATGTAAACCTCTAGGGTTTAGAACGGACATTTTATTCGAACATTTTAAACTTGGACTATATTCATATCATAATCATTTTAGTTATTAATAGTGAACTTAGTAGTGACAGTAAAATAAAATAAAAGGTTATTAAACAAACATGTACATTATTAGTGTACCACATACAGTGACTTTATAAATGGAAAAGGGACTTTATGTTCATGAACTATAATTACAAAGTTTATGTTTTAATCATAGATGGATACATTTGCTTAAAGAATATGTACATAAGTAGTGAGTATTGTTCGCTTTTAATTAGTGTTTTGACAATGAAAAAAATTACACTGAAATTTATTTAAATGGACAGGCAAGGGAAAATGGTGATGAAGTTCACGTCAGATTTGTTGTCACATTCTATAATGGAATCTCAAAATTGACTAGATTTGTTTGGAAGTTTGATCCAAATTTTGACAAAAGTGCTACACTAATCTTCCATACATTGGGATTTGTCGTGGATTACATTTGAGGCATTTATTTTTAAATATGACTTTGGTCTGATACCAAGGGCGGTAATTATGCCTGACCCAGTGTTAATGGGTCCGTCATAAGTGTTTGTACTAATCCTGAGTTGAATTCGCTGCGAGGATGCGATTGTAAATGGATAGTACTGTGTTTAAGTCGTAGAAATGAGGAATACGACAGGTGTTAGCAGTCATTAGGAGATGCCCACAGACGAAGAAAACGTTGGAGACTAATGATATAACTGATTTATGTTGCATTTTTGTACGGAATTATCAATACGTATGTTAATTACAAATTTTAATGAAAGAGAACAAAAACTGAATAAGACATGATTGTTAGAATGTACGGGATACACTGATGGTTTCTAATTTGAAGGGCGATAACACCGCCTGGAGTGGTGATAATTGCACTGCGTCATCTACTAAATCACCAGGACTGTATCCGTGGCGTGAACTTGAAAAGTAACACGGTGAACTAAGTTACTTACATGGGTTGTGAAATATAACTAATTTTGATCTATACCTAAGTGTGGAATGAGAACATTGATTCCAAAGCGAACAATATTGGCGAAGAGTAGTGCACCATAGTAAAACATAGATCAACGCGTAGATAGTGACGTAAACATATACTGGACACATATTGGACCCATATAATCAATGTAACCTTATATATTGGACTTAACATCGGGAACAAGAAGAAGATGTCCGCGAACCTCCTGTGCTGTTCGATTATCGTAATATGTGCAATTAACAATTAATAAATGGTGACTAAATTTTTTTCAAAGACTGAGGATTTTGTTTAATAAAAAGTGAACAGTTTCGTTGGACTAATTCCTAACTTGTGAACGAAATAAACTGTGATTAAGTTTAAAATTATGTTCAGGATTTAACGGAGAAATTTCCACGGGGAAATTTATTATTGTGTTGGGACGAATGTAAACCTCTAGGGTTTAGAACGGACATTTTATTTGAACATTTTAAACTTGGACTCTATTCATATCATAATCATTTTAATTATTAATAGTGAACTTAGTAGTGACAGTAAAATAAAATAAAAGGTTATTAAACAAGCATGTACATTATTAGTGTACCACATACAGTGACGTTATAAATGGAAAAGGGACTTTATGTTCACGAACTATAATTATCTTGTTAGAACAAATTGGATTTTGTTGTTGGTACAATGAACTATAATTTTGTAAATCATTTTGTAATGGAATTGATCAGAATAGACCAATCAAGCCCATCGATACTAAGTAATAAAATTTGAACGGAAATGTAAAGTTACGATTAAGATTCTTGATTAACGAGGTTGGATCCTGATATTTAAAGTCTTAAACTTTTTTTGTCACGTATAGTTTTAGTTTCTACACACATAGCTTAATTAAAAATCAAAACAAAAAATGGGGGTCAATATGCTTCTTTTGGCGCTACAGTACATTTAATATGACCTTTTTGCACTGAAATTTGTGTCTTAATCAAAAATCACCTCTTCGACGTTTTTCCCTCCAATGTTTTTATCCAAATAATAAACTATTAGTTTATTTAAAAAAAGACACATTGAAATTGTGACTAAGAAAAAATTGCAAATTGCTTCGCATAATCAATTATTTGACCTTTCTGCACTCACAATATGTGATTTTTCTGGCATTAAAAATTTAACAAGCAAAAAAATTATTTTAAAGTCTTAAACTTTTGGTGAATTTAAGCAGATTGATCAAAGTTATCTTATATATTCAGAAAAGAAAAACAAAAGTGGGGGTCTATGATGTAAATTTTTAGATATTACTAAAAAAGTGTTAATTTTATGTTAAAATTGGCTCAATTTTTTCCTGGACTTTCAGAATATATTTACTATATTAGTCACAATGTAATGAAAGAATTCATGAGAAATAACTTAATAGATATTTCAGAACCAGAATAAAACATTTCACTGCAAAAAACAGCTCTGTGTGCAATCAGCATGGAAAAATAGGAAATTAAACTTAACAGTACTGTATATTCTTCAAAAGGGAAAAATTGATCTTTTTCTTCTAAAAAACCTTCCGCCACAAAATATAGTTCCCAGCTTAATCCTAATTGAATGGAATTTAATCGCGGTTTTTTCATTGGATATAGTTTAATTTGCATTGTAGAATCCAGATTTAATGTTAGAACTTAAAAATGATGCAGAATTTTAGAAATAAAGGTCCAGACCAAAATCTGCTCAAAGGCTCAGGATCGAACCTCCTTAAGAGTAATAAAATTGGGAACTTTGAAGCAGATAAGTAAAAGAGCCTAGGGCTAGAACTCCTGTGGTGCAGAGGTAATGAAGGTATACCTGGATTGGAAGGTGATGCCATGTTGGGGTTCATAGGTCAACGGACAGGCCTACGGACTAAGCGTAGGCGGTAGGGTAATGTTAAGTCAGCCAATGAAAAGTACTTTTATATCCGGGACCATGAATACCCTCTGAGCACAAAATACCCTGTTTTGTCGGTAAACGGCACTTTTTCTATTCTCTTTTCTTTGACTCTTTTGAAATACTTTTTGGACTTTAATTTTTTGGATCTCACTTTAATTTTTACTTTTGGGGTTTTAGTTTTACGCTCTTCTGAAATATTTGGGACGGATCTTTAAAACTTTTGCTATAACCAGTGTATTGGCCTATTCTGATGAGATTTCAGAAACTAGCATTATAAAATCTATATGATCACGGTAGTTTAATAAACTTTTCAAAAAACTTAACAAACTTTGTTATTGGCTTACAAAAATTTGTAAATTAGTGCATGAGATTGTATAATGTACGTATGGTATTTTTCGCGTTTAAGAGACCTCTATACACTGCATGATTAAGAGTTCTAATTTTGTGGTATTTTCATGCAGATAGAATAATCTGCCTTTTGATCTACAATAAAAGAAATTGAAATTTACAGTTTATTACTTCATTTGTGATCAAATCAAGCATTCATGACAGATTGAACACTTTATATGCAGGTATTTTGCTTACTTCTACTTTGTAAACAACAGTGATTTCTTTTCATAAGTACCTCATTATCTTTGAACATTTTTCCTGTGGACAAATGCAAGGTCCCATATGTTTGAAAATGAAAGAGATATGCTTATGATTTACACCTTTACACACTATAATTTTCTCAATGTCCAAAAACATTTTTCGTTTGGTATATAAAGGGTCCTTAATGACATTAAATACACGTACTTGCAGGTTGTAGAAAAAGCATAACACCTTCGATTAATTTCTCTGTACTTAATTTTTATTCTGCTGGATTGAATTTTGAGATTGATTAATGAGAAATGTAAAATATTGTTAAACATACTTTCTTGTTCTTATTTGAGGACTATTTCTTCATGAAAAGATCTTTTAAATTGGAAATAAATAAATGTTGGATATAGAATATGCATTTCGCATGGTAAAACATGAAATTATAATCTGATTACTTTGAAAGCTATCATCTAGTTTTTGATGAAACTTTAATATAATAACACTTCTGTTTACCAGGTAGTTAGATAATGTTGGCATGCGGCATGAAAACAAGAATTTATTCAGTAGCCTAGGGAATAAGAAAACTAATTTCATTCGTAAGCTTGTACCCTCTTTATTTAATGATGAAGAAGCATCATTCATATATGAAATGAAAACAAGATGTGTTCGTAAAACACTGATGTCCCCGTATAGCACCTTATAGCGAAGGTTAAACTTTCTCAAATGCAAATCATTAATGGTGCCCAAGGAAAGGCCTTCTCACAAGAAAACCACATGTGAAATATGAAAGCCCTAACACCAACTGTTGAAAAGTTATGGCCAAGGTTAAAGTTTTTCAGAAGTAGGTCAAACTTGTTGGTATCCAAAGGAAGGTCTTTTCTTCTCGTATGCCCAGTGTGTACCTGAAATATTTATCGTATAAACAAAAATTTGACAGGGTACATAAGAAATTCATAGCTGAAATACGTTGACTCTTACATATCTTCTCTCAATCAAAATTTTTCAGCAATATTTAAATTTTTGATAATTGGGTCATCTTTCAAGGTCTTTGGGTTAAAAAATATAGTTAATTTGGAAATGCTTGTCACAGGTAATGCACGTGTCAAATATGAATGCCATATCAAAAATTGACAACACTGAAAAAATGTTTAAAAATTAGGTCAGACTTGAAGGTCAAGGTCATATGGTCAATATCACAGCACACTCGGAAAAATTTTGACAAAGATAATGGACTTGTCAAATATGAACAACCTTTCTTATGACATTCAAAAGTAATCACCAAAGTAATTTTTTTGAAAATTAGGTCAAACATGAAGGTCAAGTTCAAGACCTCAGAAATCATAGCATGCTCGGAAAAACCTTGTAACAGGTTATGCACACGTCTAATAAGAAAGCCCTATCCATTCTCAATCAAAAGTTATAAGCAAAGAAAAAATTGAAAAGTAGGTCAAACTTCAAGGCCAAGATCACAGGGCCAAAAACCATAGTAGATTTGGAAAAGGCTTGTCACAGGTAATGTACATATGTAATGTGAAATCCATATCTTTTCAAATTCAAATTTTATGACCAATTTAAAGTAATGTTAAATTTTTTTGAAAGAAAGGTTAAATTTCAAGGTCAAAATCAAGAGGTAAAAATTCATAGTATATTTGGGAAGGTGTTATCACAGGTAATGCATATGTCAAATATGTGCATTAAAGTGAATCAGTATCTCCCAAAATATACTGTCATTTATAACTTGCAGAAAAGAGAACACTTAAGCTTATTCCAAAAAAAAATCGTTAAAAATAAATACGGTTCTATGGATACGGATGGGAGGGACTGACATGGCATTCATGGTAGCTTATCGAATTCTTGTTGCTCTACGTTAGCAGAGGTACAGTTAAGATACCCTTTTCTTCAAAATATTTCGAAATTTCATTGAAGTTTATGAGCAAATTTGAGTAAAAACAATTTTATGTATTTTCTTTCTATAAGGAACACATTGGACTTATGAGATCTGTAACATGCTAAAGAGTGGACGTTCAGAATTCGTTGACGCCATGGTACCAATCTTTGATTACACCCCACAGGAAGAGCTGAAACTCGTCCAAAGCAAAACTGGTGTCTTTACCTCACATTTCTATCCAAGGCATTTGCCAAAACAATTTATACAGACGCGTTGCAAAA